ATTAAAATTTTCTTTTTTTTTTATTTATTCTACTTATGATCATACTATTTTAATTTGAATATATCAAAGAATCAATTACTTTGCCAATAATTTTCCATTAGTGCATTGGATTAAGCATAGGATGTGACAATTCACTATTTCTTACATTAAAAGAACATGTGTTTTTTGGAACATTCATTAATATATTTTTGGAATTGGCTTAACAATATAAACCTGCCTTAAATGTTTATTATTTTTGGAACAAAAGGATTAATAATTCAATTATCCCTATTCCTTTTATTTGTCCATATGCACAAAAAAAGAAGAAAAAACACCCACAGTCGATATATAGCTTTCTTGTCATGAAATTGGTTTTGAGGTTAATTTCCTGGTTACAAAAATATTGGCATGATCCTATGTCAAATTACTGTATGATAAGAATGGAGATAAGGCAAATTTGACAAAGTTCTAATAATGATGATGACCCTTCAAAAAAGAATCATAAAGGTAGCTAAACTGTCATCATCACCCACCACTAAGTAATGCTTGGGCACTCAAAATTGGAGAATAGAGATGTCATTATCTGCTTTTTAAAAATGAGACTGTCAATTATACCAAAGAAAAACCAAGTAATTTGTGCTTGACCAGACTAAAAATGCAATTTTTTATTCATAACATAATGGAGTTAGTTTTAATCAGCATGGAAAACAAGAAAATATTTCAACAAAGAAAAAAAAAATCCTATTTGGTTACTTCACTTCACCATTGTTTTTGGATAACACGTCATGGGTATTTTATTCTTAGAACCAGTGGATTGATTGCCTGTTTTTGGCTGCTACAAGTTTGAGAGTTGAAATCAACTTCTCCGAGATTAGTTAGAGATAAAATTCTAACACCTAAAATTCTTTCCTTTATGATCACAAAATTTGAAAGTTAAAATGATCTATTTGTCTTCCAATTTGATTTTATACCCATGTCATGAGTTGAACCTAGACAAACTATATATAGATTCAAGAATAGTTCTTCCCAAAATAGGTGGGATTCAGGGAAGGAAATGGGTTAGTTTCTAGCATTTTTCCCTCCTCATTCCATTTTTCTTTTATCTCATGAGCAAATATTTCATCCCATTATTTATTTCGAAGTAGCAAATTAAAGAAAAAATGATTAAATGATCGTAGCATCACTGACGACTACCATTGTAACAAAAAGCATTAACTGAGAATTACAAGAAAGGAAAGATTGGAAAAACTATAGGATTTTAGTTAGATGAGTGCAAACCAAAGGCTAAATAGAAAGGTTCAGGATTGTACATATTATAGTAGTCAAAGTAGTTTGTTGTGGAATTTCAATTGGCTTTTCCTCACCTCTCTTTAAATGATATATATACAATCGGGTGTGGTTGGGAAGATGATAGAGGGTTTGCTTGTATGGCTTTCTTGGGTTGGGAAGGTGATCATGGTTTTCAATACAATGACGTTTGAAGAAAAATGGATGTTTGGCTTTTGCATTTACTGTTTGAAAGCTATTTCAGACCCTTCTATTTGTGCGTCAGCTTACACCACACAAACACGCCTAGGAGCCTGTAGAGAAAAACGTATCTAGTAATGAGTTTTCTATAACGCTCTAATATTCTCGTGAAAATTATAAAAACCGGTAAAAATTAATACTGATATCATGTAATACATGGTTGTTTTTACATTTTGGCAGCGTCAATGAAGAACTACCCCAATTCAGATTCAAGTAATTATAAAAAAATGGGAGTTTTAATGCCACGGTCTCGATTCCATAGAAGTTTCTTCAGTTTTGTTTTAAATATTTCAAGTCCGTGAGATCAGAACTTTTGTAATCAAGAGTTTTAATTGAACTGATTGATGTGTCAGCTAAGAGGGGTAGTTGAGTTTTTAATGTATCAAAGTCGTCTAACATTACTTATAAAGATTAGTTTTGATAAAAAAAAAAAAAAAAAACAATTTTTCTTTATTAGGGTTCGATTATTCTACAAAATATTTTGAAAGTAAAATTTCAAATTTGTCGGTAAGAAAATGCACCCTCAAAATCATATGAGATCATATACGAAAGAGATCAAGTCCAACCAAAATATATAAAAACAGCCTTAATTGTATTATACAATAAAAAAAAAAAAAAACGCCTAACATTATAGCAATGAACTTTCTAATTAGGTGGCTTTAAAAGTCACTAACAAGGAGAGACTCCATGCATCATTTTGCACTCATTACTATTAGATCACTCCTTAAAGTTGCTTTGAGATTCACTTGTCAGTTAACATCATTGCATCAAGCCCCTCAAGCTCCTCAAGCTCTTGTGCCTGAAAGAAATCACTCCAACGGTGATTTATTCTCTTATGTTTTTTTATCATTTAACAAATGGAATTCAATCAGATTCTGGGAAATTTTTCAAAAAATGCTATCTGAATTCTGATCGTTAATTATGTGCGGTAACAGAACAAAGTGTATCTCCTTTTATTTTTTCTATTTTGAGACTTTTGACTATATTCACAATTCATTTTGTTTCTCCAACTCTTTTCTTTGGTAGGTAATAACGTTTCAACTACCAAAGAGTATGAATTTCACAATTCTGTTCTCGTCACTTTCAAAATTAAGATATAAACATAACTTGGCCACTTTCTTATTACAAGTTTACTAGAAAAAAGTTATCCTCCTCACATCCATTAATTTGGACACTTCATCTTAACCAATATTTGCAGTTTGATGAACTTGGCTGGCAAGCTTCAAATTTTATTCCCTATGATAAGCTTGATACTGAGAAAATGCATGCGAGTAGGCCGGTGGTAATCTTCAATTATGATATTTCTTGATCCTTATTTGATGAGTACAAACTATCAGGATCATCTCTTGACTGCTTTATGATGAACCAGTTATGGTAAGCAGTCAAAGCTAACATGGGCGATAAGCCAATTACTGGAATGAAACAGTTTGGATGCAAGGATCAATCAAGTGAACATTAATCCTCGATCCAATTTTTTTTGTTTCTTAAAATTATATAACGTATCATGGCTGGCATGAACTAGATAAGTTGGCACATCGACGAATTAGAATTAGACACCGATTTTATACCTTCCAAATTGATGATATATAGACTATATATATAGTTTACTTGATTATGTACAGATCGATGATGGTAACGGATAGGGTAGTTTAAGCACATTTAGATGGGATTTCAGATGTTTGATCTCGTGGAATATAAAATCTGAATCAGTTAAGAAAAGAAATTGTATATAATAGTTATTTTTCAGCATAATGTTTCAACTTTTGTATTTGACTTGCCATCTGCATGGAAGTATGGAAAAAGGCAGACGGTTTATCCATACTTTTCTTGATGCTGTCCCTGCACGGCATTTGCATTAACCCTTAAGATTACATTTGCTGAATCACCAAAAAAATAATAATAATAAAATCAGTTAAAGGTCTCCTTTCTCTCTCACAAATAAAACATTTATACCCCCCCAAGTAAAATCATAAATATCTCTTCTGAAACATTATAATTAAGCTCAACTGTCTTTTATGTCAATATTTTGCAACCACCATGTTTGCTACCATTGCTTTGCTCTGCATCCAATGCTTTTAAACCGTGTGCCATTGGAGAGACTGAAGCAAGCTTATTCCAGATGCTTGTTGATTTACTCTGACATTGCTATAACAAGAAAGACAAGCGTGCAATCGCAGGCATCATTATTTTACAAATGGAGGCTTTTCTTGTAGAAACTGTTTTTACAATTTGGGGAAAAAATTATTGAAACCAAACCAAAAAGTTAACTTCTCTTGTCTTATTATCATTGTTGTTTTTCTTAGATAACTTTATTTAATTATCATTAAAATATTAAAGAATGTTGATCGAAAACCATAGCCTCACTTTTGAGCATTCATTCATTTTGTTTTAGTATTTAAAGTTATTAGAATTTGAATCTTAATCATTAAAATTAAAATTTTAACATTTTATCAATAAATCAAATAACTATTGGAAGCATTCATACATTTTAAATAGAAAACATATAATTATTTTGACAGAAATCAGATGATTTTTCGCTAAAAATGGGTGATTTAAACTTGGCTAGCAAAAAGTATAACATCTCCATTTAACCCTTTTTGGAAATTATTAGAATTAATCATGTCAAAACAAACAAATTAAATCCCTAAAATAAGAATCATCTGATTTAGAAGGTGCATGTGCATGCTTTAAAATGCTAGCTAATCAAAATATTATCTTGTTGCCGATTCAGGTATGAAAACTTTGAATTTTACCAACTTTTTTGCCGCTGATTCCCAGTTATGTGTTCCAACTGCAATACAAATTAAAATGCTTTAAATAAGAAGCATGATGTGCCTAAAAGAGCAAAGTTCAATAAATGGAACATTAATGTCCACCATCACCTATATAGTAATTGATCTCTCTATAGTTATTCTATACGTCTACACATTGTTTGTACTTGATACAGCTTATGGCTCATTAAGATGCCATCTTTGTGTTAGCGGTTACGGTCAGCATGAAAAAGCATCTAAATATTTTTTATATATTTTTCAAAATTTTTTATAAATTAAACATTATGTTTTAATTAAGTTTCGAATGCAGCAATTCTTGTAATTAGGATTTTTCAACTAAACTAAGTTTGAGATCACTGAAAAATTCTTTGTATTAATAAAATGAAGAAAAAGCTACATTTTGATGCTATTAAAAGGTCAATGTTAATAATTATGTGAAAGCATGCACACATTATAATTAGCAAAACAAGGCAACCTTAGAAAAGGAAATGAAAGTTGATTAAACGTGGTAATTCATGATCCCTTGTCAATGAAATTAGCTATTAAGAAAGTAATTAAGTAGTCTTTGCACCAGGAGAGGTGAGGCTTGATTTAACGTAATACCATGGCTTAAAATGGCAAGAGAGAGAGGGAGCAATGCAATGAAGAAAAAATTGATAGAGTGGCTCATGGGCCAATAGCATAACAAGAAAGGGTCGTCAGTCAGGGGTTATACTGATACAAGCTTAATGTGTCGTGTAAAACCAACTAAAGTGACTTCCCATCCACAACCCTAAACCAACCGCACTTTCTTATATTCTCTCTTCATTTTCCCACTCTTCCTACTTATATATCTTCTCGCCCACCTTTTTTTGGTGTGCTTAATTGATGACGAAGAATTTACCGCCTCCATAGCTGCTGGCTACTAATAATTAACATCCATGGAGGATTCAGGAGCTGCTTCTAGTGATGATGTAAAAAGTAGTTGTCCTAGAGGACATTGGAGGCCTGCTGAGGATGAAAAACTCAGGCAACTTGTTGAACAGTATGGTGCCCAAAACTGGAACTCTATTGCAGAAAAGCTCCAAGGAAGATCAGGTAATTAATTACTGTGTTATTGGCTAGGCTTGACAAATCAGCTCTATCCTATCTTCTATCTTTCTCTCCACTCTGATTCTTGTTGCAACTTGGGTTAACTTCTGATAATCTTTTGGGAACCAAAGTATGAATGATTAAGATGATTCAGAACTTTAAATACTAAATCAGAAAAGATGTTTTCTTCCTCTATGGGTGAGTGAGTATATGTCATATGGGTTTTTGATTAGTATTTTAGTATCTTAATAGTTTTAATAGCACAGGTGAAGACAATACATGATTAATTAATTTGCTTCATCATCAGTTATGAACTGATGATAAATAAAAGGATTATCTCTTTCTCTCTCCCTTTAATTTCCTGATTTTATATTATCTTTTTCTACAGGGAAGAGCTGCAGATTGAGGTGGTTTAATCAACTTGACCCAAGAATCAACAGAAGACCATTTACAGAAGTAGAAGAAGAACGGCTTCTGGCTGCTCACCGTATCCATGGAAACAAATGGGCACTAATAGCTAGACTATTTCCTGGTAGAACCGATAATGCAGTTAAGAATCACTGGCATGTTATAATGGCTAGAAAACAAAGAGAACAATCCAAGCTATGCGGAAAGAGAAGTTTTCAAGATGGTCTTAGTGACTCCAAGCTAAGCTCAAGAATTGGCTTTGGAGACTGTAAGTTTTTTGAATTTCAAAACCCCAGCAAAGATAGGATTTTCTGTGTCTCATCTTCATCAACTTCTTCACCATCTTGGACTTGTGCTTCATCAACAATGATGGCTTCAAACAATTCATCTTCAGACAAATTATTACGAAGAGATGGAAAAGATTATTTATTGGCTTCTGGTTCTAGTTATTACTCCATGGACAGTTCAACATTTTTAGAGCAATCTCTTTATAAATATCATTCGAATGCTTCAGCATACTGTAGCCGCTTCAGAAATTCCAGTACATTTGGTCTACCAAAATACAGGAGGGTTGTTCCTAGTCGTTTTGGCTACCTTAAACTTGGTGATAATTCTGAAAGTAATAATGGTGTGATGAAGGAGGAGTTGATGAGCTTCACTGATAATGCACCCAAGTTAGCAAATATTAGACTGAGTTCCTTGCAGCCAGAACAAGAGGATGAATCCATCAAAACAAAGGGTGTTCCTTTCATAGATTTTCTTGGTGTTGGTATTTCTTCTTGATCATCAAAAACCATCTTATTTAACTATTTTTGACAGCATGCATAACAGCTTTAGCTTTGCTTTCATAATGCATTATTAATTTTTATAGTACTTATTGATTATTAACATGCAAAACTTAAGTCTTAAGCAGAAAAAATATGCTTAGATTTCTAGCAGTTAGAAAATTTTCTTCAATACCCAATATTGTTTAATAAGGAATGGGGAAGTTTTCAGATAATATTAAGTCAATTTATGAGTTTTAATTTGTAGATGATTTTTGTTCTCCAGGCTAGTGTTCTCAAGAATCCAATTTTCTTTCCTTGTAAATCCTTCACAGGTTCAATATCTCTTGTTGTCGCATTTTAATTTAATGCATCAAAGTGCTAAAAAACAATGATCATAATTACAATATATTTTTTTCAGTGTTCTTTATGAAGTATTTAAGGAAAAAATGACTTGCAGTTGCATAAGGTGGTGGTGGTAATATGTCAATATAAATCTTTTACGCTTAAAGAAATTTTTCTAAATTCTCTCCTAAACGGCTGGTGCACCTGCATCCTCACATCGATGTAAACTAAAAAAGAAAATCAGCTTTTCAAAGTTGTTAGAGCTAAAGCTTTTCCTAGGGAACTTTGAGTAGGTGATGTAGAAGTTCTGGCAAGGGTCAAAAATCATTCTTGTTGGTAGTTCCTTTCAATATAACACACTGCTTGATTTAATGAACAGCATCTTTGGAGTTTGAAGCAATGGGATGCTGATAATAGCTAAGAAATGAAAAAAAAAAAAAAAGAAATTGGGAAATTACCTTCATTTTTATTATTGTTATTATTTCTTACAGATGGAAGGAGATATGCATCAACATCAACTAGGCAGCCACTACAAGAAACAAATCCTCAAAATTTTATTAAGTAATACCGAAACAAATATTCACTTGAAAACAAGCTTTTAGAAACACCATAGAGCAAGTCCAATTCCCATGAAAATTGTCCAAAGTTGGGCAATTCAATAGAAAAGTTCTCTACGAAGCACGAAAAGCAAATTAGTTAGTTACCCCATATATTCATCACTGATGACCCTTTAGCTAGCTCCAGCCTTGTTTTCCTTTTGATTCTAGCTCCCATCCACATTCATCTTCCAGCAATTGGGATTTGGTTTGTGCCAGTACTGGTAAAGAATTTCAACCTTTGAGAGATTTCGTTTCCTCAGAGACTGACTCACTCCAATCTTGTACAGCTTAATTTTATTACCATCATTCATTTATTGGCCCTTGGTATTCTACTATTCTTTCATTTTCCATTACGGTCCTGTTTCTTCATTTCCACAGCAGCCAGATAATGTTTGCAAAGGCCGTCAGCCATTCCCATTTATCCCAGATTGACCTCTCCGACGAAGCAGATTTAGAGAGAACCAATCTTTATGACTCAAATTAAAAAAAGTTAGTACTCGGTCAGGCTTGAGTAATTTGAACCATTACATCTGCGTTTCCGAGCAATCTTTCAAGATATATAAGGTTCATCCAATAGAATTCCCACAAATATTGCGGTCAACGTTCTCGCACATACCTCTTTTTCTTCTATTCTCATTGGAAAGGATTCTATCATTAGAAGCCAGCCAAATGAAGTACTTTAATCAGGCCATTAGGATTTAGTCCTCAAGTCAATTTATCCGGTATGTCTGCATTTAGTTCAATCCAGGCAATAATGATTCGATCAATAATATTGTCAGCCAGATGCTCTTTTAACTTCTTTATGTTCCACGTCCCTTTGCAGAAGAGCTCTTTGATAAACATGTTGTAATCAGCTTGACTAATTTCCTTTTGGGTTTATTCCAAAAGAGATTTGTGTTGTGCAGCCATTTGTCAGTCCAAAAGCGAATTTTATTGCCATTCCCGACATTCCATTGCAGCCCATGTTGTAAGATCTCCTTTCCATCACTAGAAATTTTGCCGCACTTAGTTGTGGGAAAAAAAATCGAATGAAATTTTTATATTTCCACTTCTCTATGGTCTTTCTTTTCTTCTGTTTTACTTTTACTGAAAGGTCACAGGCTGCACCATACGCCGCTGTCACCTCTTGAGTTAGCGGTTACTTCCTAATTTCCTTCCCCTTCCTTGCCTAAATCCCAAAAGAAATCTTGACAAAATCTTACAATTAAAGTTTATAAATTAATTATTAAATTTATTTTATACAAATTAAATAAAAAATTTTTCTTTAATTTATTAGAAAATTTGTAAAAAAATCATATTTAAAAAAAAATCCATCCTCTAAACATTCTCAAAGAATTCACTTGTGTTCGTAAGGAGTATTTTACTTACTATTTAAATTTATTTAATTCACATAATAAAAAAAAATTTTAGTCATACAAAATGGACTAAATTTGCAATTTTACTTTATAATTAAATAATTAGATATTTGCTAAAAGATATACATGATAAAAAAAAATTAATACTAAAATACAAATCAAAATAAACAAAGTAAAAAAGAAAAGAAGAACTAAAATTTGAGCTAGAACCCAAGTTGATATTTTCACTTTTTAGCCTAGTCTAATTTAAAAAATTGAAAATCTGATCCCAATCTATTAAGGCAGGTCGAAGTTGGGCAGACATGTCAAAGACGATTAGATCGGATGAGTGCACGGGTCTTCTCCCAAAACTAAAAACCTTCTTTAAACCATTTCAAAGGGTAAAATACTTCAATAATCACTTAATTATTTGAGTCCTTTTAAAGTGTTCACTAAAATATTTTTTTTTTTATTTTGATAACTAATATTTGAATTAGTGTCTTTTTTTTAATCATTGAAACATTAAACAGTAACGGTTATTTAACCTGACATTATTAAAATTTAAAGTTTGATAATGTTACATATAAAATAATTCAAATGGCATCCATGTAAGCTAAAAAAACCAAGATAACATTACTAAAATTTCATATAAACTAAAATTTCTTGGGTTATAGAGTCAGATTAGTCCTTTTTTATTTTTTTTCTTTCACATTTCTTTTTCTTTTATCTTTCATCTTATTCTTCTTTCCCCTTACATTACCACCACTATTTTTTTTTCTTCCCCTCTTGATTTAGGGTTTTCAATTGTTGAGTTTAGAAAACCACATCATGGCTCTAATAAGTTGTTCATCCACCTTTACCGAGATAAGTAATGCTAAATCTCCATATTTTTTGTGGAATTTTTTTTGCATATTTTTGTTCCATAGCTTCCAAATCAAAGCCAAACTAAAGAAGGTCATTTTGCTTCAAATTAATATGAACCTTCTTGTGAAGAATAGACACATAATCTACCAGCAAACTGTCTCTTTCTTTACTTTGTGTATCCTCTTATCTTATTATTCAAGATATCATGTTGGGTCGATGCAAATTGAAACTACTCTAAACTTTCCATGAATGTAATCAAGATTCATTTTGTCAAAATTGGTATATGGCAAACAACTCCCTATTATGAAAATGCAATGATGGATGAGACAAATAATAAAAAATTTAAACAATCACTACCTGGTCCTTGATGTGTCCCTACGTGTTTAAGACAATTCTAAATTATAGGTGGTCGTGGCTTTATCCTAAGGTAGACTTCCTAGGTCATTTATATGCTAGGTTAAGATAACAAGCTAAAGGTTTCCAAATTATTCCTCACTGTCATTCATGCTGCACTAGTAAGGCATTTTGATCCTCGCCTATGACAAGCTTCAAATAAAAAAAATTCAATTTGAGTGAAAGTATTCATCAACCATTATGGATGTTAACATCTCACGAGAGCATAGATACTCTACTCTTCTTCTAAAAAGTTTGAAGCTTGGGTTCAAAGCTCATGTTATGATATGCATGTGTAGTGTGTGATAGGACATATTTTTAAACACTTTTCAAACAAATAAATAAACAAATAAAGAGAAATTAGTCAAATGAATCAATAAAATGAATGAATAAAGAAAACTAGACTATTCAACTAAGACCTAGAATCATATTAAAATTAATTTTTGGCTCGACTATCTAAGTTCTCAATAGAGTCACCAACCTATCATAACATTTCGATCTAATGACTCAATTATTAGACATAAAAAGTCATTAGTCACCATCGATTTTTTTTGTTGAGGTGCGATTAGCCACCAATCCTCTTTTTGGGTCTATGAATTTAAGGTTGAGTTCAAGAGTATAGATATGTATGAGAAAAGCTATAGTATTCCCATAGCACCTATCTAAAGACAATACTAATGAATCTTGTATTAAATAGGTCTTATTCAAATAGTCTTTCATTTATTGCTTTATCATTTTTATTTTTATTATTTGAATATTAAAAATTTTTTAAATTATTTTTGACACTTTCGATATAACTTAAGAAATTTTCTTACCTCAATAATATTCAAAAAAATCACTTATTTCATTGAGAGACTCCGTCATCGAATTTATTTTAATATTTTGAAAGTAAAGTAGATTATAATTTCCTTATACAAGCACCTATGATATGATTTTAAACATTTAGAGGAAAATCACCATTTGTGATTCCCTTCTAATTTTATTATTGACGAAAATTTTAATATATTTTGTAATGTTTATTTATTGTTTATTTTATTATTGAAGTAATAAAAATTAGTAGTTAAATTCTTAAAATATTTTCAACACTTTCAGATTATTTTAAGAACAATATCTTGTCTAAGAATTTCGATAATATCACCAGTTGAAACTTTATTACTATCCCATTAATAAATTTTTTGTGTTTGAAAAATTCTAAGTTATTTTTAAGACTTTTAAAATACTTAGAAAGTTTCTTTATATGAATATTTTTAATAAAATTATCATTTGTGACTTTATTTTTTATTAATAATATTTTTTTTTTGCAAAATTCTAAAATACTTTAGAATATTTTAAAAAATTTCTTTGTGTAAATATTTTTAATAAAACTACCACTTGTAATTTTATTTTTTATTAATAATTTTTTTCATGTTTGAAAATTTTTAAAATATTTCTAACACTTTTAGAGTATTTTAGAAAATCTCTTTGTGTAAATATTTTTTAATAAAATCACCACTTGTGATTTTATAGTTATTAATAATTTTTTATGCTTGAAAAATTCTAAAATACTTATAACACTTTTAGAATATTTTAGAAAATTTCTTTATGCAAATATTTTTAATAAAATTACCACTTGTGATTTTATAATTATTTTATTTATTTTTCATTATTTATTTTTACTTATTCATTATCCCAAATTTTTTATATTTATTATTTTATTTTTAAGATCCTAAATTGAAAATTAGAAATACTAAAAAAAAATACAAATAATATAATAATAGAAAATAAAAAAGAAAAAAAATATCAATTTTTTGCTAGTCAACGTCGTTCAACTCTGATAAGTGACAGTCAAAGCAAGTAGTTTAACGGGTCCAACACCGATTTGGATGGACCGATCAAAGTCAATAGAAACTTGGATTGCAGATCGAGTGCTCTGACCCTGGGCCGAATCCAGATCTACGCGCAAATCCTTCTTACTTAAAATGACGTTGTTTCATCTTTTTTTTAGCACTATATAAAAGATCAAAATAATTTTTTATTTCATTTTTTCTCTGAATTCTCTCTCTAAAAGAGAAAGCTTCTCTCTCTAAAATACAAAATCTCGCCAAAAAACCCAAAAGACAAAAGCATTTTGATCAACATTGTGTCAGCCACTGTCCACCATTGTTAAACATTATCACTAATCATCGAAAAAATCTTGAAAAAGTCCCTATAAACTCTTTTCAACCTTCTAAACTCAAATTTGTCCTCTTTTTGTGAAAAACAACCTTAATCGACGTAGATCAAGGCCTAAAGTTTTGGCCAAAATGATTTTTTTTTTATGATTTTTGGTGTTGGGATCCCTGCTCCATAGACTATGTTCTTGTTTTGTTGTTGTTGTTTTTGCTGGCTTTTTTTTTTTGTATAGAAATTTTTTTTTTGTTTAGATAAAACTTTTTTTTTACTTGAGTTATATTACTAGTTGAGTTCTGTCTCCCTCTTTTTTTTCTTTAGGTTTTTTTTTTTGTTAATTGTGTGGCTCTATTTATAGAGCTAAATGAGATCCAAAATCTCAAAAAATCTAAAATTTTTGTTGAAATTTGGTTGCCTAAAATAATAATAACTATAAAAAAAGTATATTTAAGTTAAGATTGGACAAAATGGGTGTTTACATTTAGGCGCATTTCCACAACTGTCCAAGTAATCTGAGACCACCAAAAATTGTTCCCCTTGTCTTCTAATTAATCAAACCAAAAGAACTTTAAAATCTATTAAACCAAGAAACCCAAAAAAAATCAACTTTTGCCACACTTTTACTTTCGCGATTTTTGCTTCTCTTTTTTTTTTTTGTTTCGAGCTGTTAATTGTTGCTTAAAAGCTGAATTTTGATTGTTGCTAATTCCTATTGAGTGTGTTGAATTATTTGTGTATGAGATTCCATTGTGCGATGTTTCTGCCACCACCTAAACTAGAATTTTATGATTTTTCTCTAAATTGCTTGTTGATTCTCTGTTTTATTATTGATGGGTTTCTTATTGAAGATTTTGTGTATGACTGTTGTATGTTTGTGCCTGATTAATCGGCAGTTAGAAATTTTTTTATCTAGGTTTCTTGAATGTCCATGAATCATAGTTGTTAATTTTGTTTTAATATCGGTCGGTATACTCCAATTATACTAAAATATGACTCACCTAAAAATAATTTTTCGTATCATATTTAGTATCAGGTAATACAGTTATTTTTATTAGTTTCAGCTTGTTTCGGTAAATTTCGATGGGATAGCATATTTTGGCTAGTACGTGAATGTGAAATGTATTTTATAATTTTTAACTTATCTTTTGTTATTTAACTATTTTTAACCTAATAAAAATAAAATTAATTAGCAAAATAATCCTTAAAAGTTGAGTTTCTTTATTTTTTTATTTTAACTTTTTTTATACTTTATTTTTTCAAACCAAAGTTTATAATTTTATATTTTTATTTTTTCAAACAAAAATTTATAAGTATTTCAATTTTTTTAAGAAAATAATTATACTCCTTTTATAAAGTTTAACAATTATAAAGCTTTGATTAATTTTTTTCATCTCTTTGTTTTTATCTTAATATTTATATGAAAAATACTTATTTAAATATCATATGATCAAATTAAGTATTTAAAAATATCATGAAAAATATATGACATTATTTCTTATATTTTTAAACTTATTTATTTGATTTGAATATATTACATATTTATTTTGTGGCTTATTAATAATATTATCATGTATAAGTTCATATATGTTTATAAATATATTTATTTTAAATCGAATAATCTGAAATAATATATCAAAACAACTAGTACTAGTATATATTATATTTTTAAAAAAAAATCAAAATGTTATCCATACGATATTAACAATTTTGCTATGAATTGCATGTGGAAAAATTTTATGATTTTTTTTTTGCAAATAAAAAGAAGAAAAAGGAAAACCCTCAAGGTGAACTTTTAATTGGCTGCCTTCATTGAATTGAAGAACTAATCGAGAACTTAATTTTGCCAAATGTCAATCAATTACAAATTAAATTTTATTCTAATTGAATACGGGCACTCAATTACAAATTAAATTTTATTCTAATTGAATACGGGCACTCATATGCTGCAAAACATGTTAAGGCTCCCTTTTAATGTACGTATATTGATATTTGTTCCAAGTTTAAGAGTTATTTGCATGATATGAGAAGAAAAGAGGAAATATTTGCTTCGTAAACATTTCACTTGCAGGACTGAAGATGGTAAATTTATCCCAAATCATCGGATTATGATACAATCCGCCATCCAACTTTATAAGATTTTTTTTTTTTTTTAATTAAGTTTTAAATTGGAGTTAATACCATAATCGAATTTTAAATGAATTTGTTTTGATTCATCATGTATATAATATATTTTTTATTATTTACTTAATTTTATATTTATATATATATATATATCTATTATATTAATAAATTTATTATTTAATATTTTAATTTAAGATATTAATTTAATAAAAATATTTTATGTACATATAATTAAGATATAATTTATATTAAAAAATTATATCTTATGACTATTATATTAAATTAAAATTATTAAATTAATTTTTAATATATCAATTGTAATTTTATACAATTGAATATAAAAATAATATTTTAATATGAATTGAAATTAACTATGAATTTTATAAAATCATATTGAAATCGGGGCTAACAAATCCAATTCCTTGCCACCTCTACGCAGGACCTCTTTCGAAGGGCCTTCTTCTTCGTTAAGCATTCATCACCCGAAAACAACAATTTTGGTACATGAATTACTTACTAACCCTTTATTCTTGGTAGGATAGGGATGATGGAAGGTAGAAGAGAAGGACAAAAAAAAAAAAAGAAAATCAATCCAAATGTTGAGCTACGAAATAATAAATATGATTATGATTCTTAATCATTGATTAAAAAAATTTAGATATTTTCTCTTTTCATCTTCTCTAGAGGACGGAACCAATGTTCATGCCTACAATCACAAACTCAGTTTGGAATCAATCCATCCAATTCACAAATAAATACTATTAAATTATTGAAATTATTATTATATTAATATTTTAATAGTTTTAAATATATTTTTAATTTAAAAATTAAATATAAATAATTTATTAATAATAAAATATCGAGATAGAGTCGAATTTTGGTTTAAAAAATATTATCTGAGGTCCAATTGGAGTTGAGCCCAATTAGCAATTTGCAAGGCCTGCAGGTAACCCAGTCCGTGGAGGGGTGTAATTTTTTAAGCAATATAGGCCCATGAAATATTTCAAAATCGATTTGACTCCTCTAACTTGAGCAACTGGGAGGTGGTCTTTTTCTCGTGTTTCTTCACTTCATTTCCGCCACAAAATTTCTCGACTATAGATATAGGGGGTAATTTGGTAACTTGAAGAATTGATTAAACTTCCAAGCAAGAGAACAAAGCGTGTTGACTGAGTTCGATTCAAACGATGACTTTCCTATCCTAGGGACCATTTTGGCCTGGGCGTGGACGAAACGACGGCCTAGTCTTTGCCGTCCTTTTGAGAACGAACCAAAGCTTTCAAATTCCACTTCCCAAAACACCCTTGCCTTTCATTTCAAATGCCCAACAAGACAATAACAAGTATATTTTTCTTCTTCTGAAATCTCAGCTCCAAAAAGTCACTGTCTTCAAAATTAAAAAATAAAAAAAAGTGGGTGTCAATATCTATGCATTTACAGTATTATGAATTTACCCATTCAAAAATGATTTTAGTAGGATAATTCAGATTAAAAACTTAACAAATAATTCAGATTAAAAACTTGACAAATCTTTGTCTAATTGATGGAATATTTGAAGTAAAGCTTTGAGAAAAACAAAATAAATAAATAAATAAATAAAATTGAAGCTTTGGTCAAAATTATATTCGAGGATATAATTAAATAGGAAAGAATATAATTTTTTGAATTCTGAATTTAATTTTGTTGGTTCTTGCAATCATAGATGTTATTTAATAGTTTTTTAATATAAATTTTGATATTTATAATTTTTTTTATTTTCAAACTGCAGTCTCTTTTATTAAAAAAATATAATTCATCAACATAATGAAGGATAAGTTATTTATTTGAATTATTTTCATTGGTTTTTTTCAAAGCCAACTTAATAGTATTTTATTAAGAAAAATATATATACATTATTTCCATCTATGTTGAAAAAATTAACATAAAAATTTTAAAAATGACAAGAAAAATTTTACATTAAAAAAAAAAAGTAAATATCAAGTTGTGCATTTTATAATGGAACATTGTGACATTTGGTTTAAATATAACTCTATTGAGAATTTTCTTAACCAAAATGGACTATTATTAAAATCAAAATGTGGACATTGACTCAGTTTATTAAAAAAAAAAAGGGGTAGTTTTGGATTAAAAAGTCCAGTCCAATTTCCTATATTCTTCTCATTACCATAGCCAATCTCTTCCATCTCTCTGTTTTTTTCTTCTTTCTTCATCCTTCTCTCCCACCCTGCAACTCAAAATTCCATTGAAGAAAAGTTAAACATCATGGATAGAGAGCAGGAAGAGATGCAATTTCTTGGGTTCTTTGGCATCTACATGGAATCCTTCAAGGTCATCTTTGCATGGAGAAAAATCTTCAGCAAGATCACTTTATCTTTAATCCTCCCTCTATCTTTCATCTACCTTGTTCAAATGGAAGTATCGAGTCTTTTCTTCAGGAAAATTATCCATAACGAAATAGAACTTGATCATACTCGATCAGGCACTCCCAAATATGAGAAACTATCTGACCTTATCTCCGATGAATGGGCATACTTTTGGCTTTTCAGGGCTGCCTACTTCACTTTGTTCTTCATCTTTTCCCTTCTTTCAACTGCTGCAGTTGTTTACACCATCGCCTGCATATACACAGTTCGGGAACTCACGTTCAAGAAAGTCATGAGCGTCGTTCCAAAGGTTTGGAAGAGGCTAATGGTTACTTTCTTGTGTACTTTCGTTGCCATGGTTGTCTATCACGTTGTGGCTTTCGTTGTCTTCTTTATTTGGGCAACTTCAATCGGAGCAAGAGACATGGGTATTGCTGTCTTTGTTGTTTTAACGATTTTGTACATCATAGGGTTTTTGTATTTGACCGTAATCTGGCACTTGGCAAGCATTGTCTCTGTTTTAGAAGAGGCCTACGGGTTCCAAGCCATGGTCAAGAGCAAAAACCTGATCAAGGGAAAGCTATTGGTGGCAACAGTCATTTTTCTGAAGCTCAATATCACCCAGCAGATCATCCAGTATGCATTCCAGAGGCTGGTTGTGCATGGAAGCACCATGGGCATGGCTAGCAGGGTTGTTTATGCAATTATTTGTTTCTTGTTGCTTTCCAAGCTATTTCTCTTCGGATTAGTCATCCAGACAGTGATTTACTTTGTCTGCAAATCTTACCACCATGAAAACATCGACAAATCTGCTTTGGCGGATCACCTGGAAGTCTACCTGGGAGAGTATGTTCCTTTGAAGGCCAAGGATGTTCAACTAGAGCAATATCATGTTTGATTGACTTTCAAGTCTATTTATAAAAATAACGGATCGATGAATGTAATAGTTATCTTGATTAATGGTGTTTTTGTACCTATATGTTATGAAAGTAATTATAATATATTTCACGGCCATTTTTTTTGCTAATTTTTTCAATTAATTTTCCTTGGTTGGCCAAAAAAAAATTATTTTCATTGGACATGAACTTTCTTTGGTGTTTAATTGGTTTATTTGGTTTGGTTGACTGGTAAAGAGAGATCATTTTCTTGCATTTCTGGTCCAATTAATGAGGGTATGAATGAGAACGTAACAAAAACGGTAATAATCTTTTGTCAAATACAATAAAAGAAACATTTAGTGGAAGTTTAATTAAAAAGCACTCAACTGCTCTTAGCCCTACCAACGAAAACGATATTTTAATTTTGGGTCCGGTTAACCGTGCTAGATTGCATTTATTTAAGATTAATTAAAATGTTATTTTAGGAAAATTTTACATTTATTGTATTATTTATATAAATTCAATAAAAAATGTAATAACTGTAAAATTTTTTTAAAAAATATTACCTTAGACCGCACCACAAATATTTATATGCTACTATTATTTTGGGTTTAGGAGAGATGACAGGACATTTGATAAATTAAGCATTTGAATAACACGTGTCTTTGATTATAAGATTTTGATTGAATTAAATTGGATGAGTTACTTTGGCCAAAAAAAAGTTGAATGAGTTATAAGACAAAGGTTGTATGATTTATAATCATTAGGTTGATGTCCGCATGTTGCTACGAGTTAAAATCCTTTTGTTTTGCCATCCTATTCAATAGTTTTTCTTTTGTAAAATTTTACAAAGTAAAAAAAAATAAAAAAAGAAAGATAAAAAATCAAATGGATGTGATTCGTGAATACATAAATTCATTTTTTATTCTCACAAAATATATCTAGTAAAACATAACAATCTACAACAAAAAAATATAAAAATTAAAAATTAAAAAAAAAAAAAAGCTTCAAAGGATTTCACATGAACATCCCTATTGAGATTAAAATATAAATTTTCAAAAATTAAGGCGTCAAAAAATAATTTTATTAATATAATATGTGTAAATATAAAATTAAATTAATAATAAAATATATACATTTATATATCTCAAAATGAGTAAGAACAAAAAAACTAAATACACTTTTGTACCGATTTCGATTCTTATAAAAAAACTCAACTTCTTTTAATTTGATCTCAATTTAAAAAAAAAAAAAAGAATTGTCCCTTATTGGATCAAAATAGATCGAAATTTATCGAATATAGATTATATTGACATCTTTATTAGTTGGCACATTTGTTGTAAATTTATCTAATTAAAAAAATAAAAAAATAAAAACAAATAGGAATACAACGTGAACATTTCTATTGGTCTCATTTTTTTTAAAAAAAAAATAATTTAAATGAAAAATAACAAAACGGAAAATGGAAAAAGAAGCTCATTACGTGTGGACATCCCAATTTAGCTTGAAATATTAATATTTTAAATTAAGATATCAAATCATAACTTTATTAATAAAATAAATTTAAAAACTATAAAAATATAAAAAGAAAAATAATTTAAAAAAAAAGGAAGAGAAAGATCGTTGAGGTGCCCTAGAATATCCAAATTAAGTTTAAAATGTTAACATCTTAAATTAAGGTATAAAATAATAACTTCATTAATATAATAGATATATGTATAAACAAAAAATTAAAAAAATAATAAAATATATACTTTTATATGCACCACATGTGGCTTAGGACAAAATATTATAAATTCATCTTTGCCCATCAAATCAAGATGAATAAAAACTTATCAGATATTGATTATTTTGCTAGTCCTATCAACCGACTCATTTATTGTAAAATTGATTTGATTAAAAAAATGAAAAGAAATAAACAAATGGGGGTGTGTTACGTAAACAGTTTTGATATTATATTTTATAAAATTTAGCTAATTAAAAAACAATAAATGAAAAAAGAAAAAATATAAAAAAGGAAAAAAATAATATGGGTGCCAAATAGACACCTCAATTGTTTTTGTAACAAATTTATCTAATTTTAAAAAATGTTGACAAAAAAGTAAAAACAAAAAAAGGTGTTGTCGACACCTTGAATGAGAGTAAAACAAAAATAAAAATGAGCAAAATTTATATAATTGATGAATGGATTGATGAATTATATCTTAATTATATATAAATATAGTATTTTATTAAATTAAGATATTAAATAATAATTTTATTAATATAATACATATATATAAATATATAATAAATAAAATATATTATATATATACTCAAGACAAGAAGAAAAATCCTAAACCGCATCCGACCTAGTCTTGATTTTAAAAAATAAAAACTTTGACTTAGTCTCAATTTTTAAAAAAATTTGTATATATTGGATTAAGTCAAATAAAAACTCATGAGATATAAGTTATTTTATCATTCCTATATCAATTAACTTTTTTCTTATAAAATTTTTCTAAATAAAAAAATTCAAAATTAAAAAAACAAAAGGAAAATGGCGAAAGAAAAAAAGAAAAAGAAGCTAAATAGGGATGACATGTGGATTTATTAATTTAATATATTAAATAATAATTTTATTAATAGAATATATATAATTAAATAAATAATAAATATATATTTATATATAACCTGAGGGCGAAACACCTTAAACATCTTTATTTTTTTGAAGAAATTCAATTTGATCTCAAATTTTAAATTCACATCCTCTGGGTCTAGATGAATTAAAACCTTTTAGGTATGAGTTATTTTATAATCCATACCTCCATTGATATTTTTCATCAAAATTTATTTATCAATTTCTTTTAATGTAAAATTATCTAATTAAAAAAATATTTTAAAATAAAAAATGTGAAAGGCAAAAAACGAAAGAGAGTAACACGTGTATACATTCATTGGTTTTATTTTCTAAAAAAATGATCTAATTCAAAAATCAAAAAAAGAAATAAAGCTAAAAAGCTTTAAAAAGAAAAAAAAATGAAAAGAAAAAAAAAAGTTGACATGCAACATCAGCTATAATAAGCTTTTTTTCAAATATTTATATAATGAATTTAAAAAAACTAAAAAAAGATCGAAGAAAAAATCAAATCTTGTGATGTCAAAAACTTTCTAATATTTATATCTTTAAAAAAATCAAATTAAAAAAATGAACAGAAAAAGGAAAAAATATTTTTAATAATAATAGTGAATAGATCCCACATTAAAAAGATTTTAAAATATTTAAAATTTGATTAAGTAAAAAAGGAAACAAATGTAAATTAAAAAAGAGAAAAAAAAAAAAAAAAAGGTATCAAATGATTTAACACATAGCATATCACTTATACAAAGCAAGTTCAAAAAATATCTAAAAAAATTTATAAAATATATAAAATTATAAAATAAAATAAAATAAAAAATAAATACATGGCATACCCTTAATATCAAGTAAGTATAACATAAAAAATTTTAAATTCTAGAAAAAAATATTTATAAAATATCAAAAAAAGAAAAAGCAAAAAAAAATTAAGTGAGTTCCATACAAAAAAATTTATTAACAAATACTTATTAAATATAAAAAAGTAAAAAAAAAAAAAAACATTAACATGTAACACCCTTTTAAATATATATAAAAAATTTAAAATAGAAAAACAAAAAGAGTGAGACAAGCGTATAAAAAAATTCAAAAAATGCAAAAAAAGCCCAAAGCCTAGTTGTAACACAGTACATATGCAAAAGTTAAATTCTAGATTTGATTTATGGATATTCTTATTTTTTTATTTTGTTAGCTCAAAGATTTGGAATAAACCAAAAGGGGGGTGAATTGGTTTTAATGAAGTTTTCAAAAATAATATTCAATAAACACAAATTTTGCTAAACAATTAAACATAATAATTGAAAGTAAATAAGAGATAGAGATAGAGAAAATAATACCGCGATTTATAGAGGTTCGATCATTCCTTAGGCACCTACGTTTTCTCCCTTAGCCTCTATTGCCAAGGAGTTCAATCCTCTATAAGTGTTGAAGATTACAACCAAGCTTCTCTCAGCTTTACAAACTCAACACAATATACTCTTAAGGGTTATCCTCCCCCTTAAGCTTACAAACTCACAAAACAAAAAAATGAAGTGTTTTGCAAACTCTAAAAACCTCACAAATGTTGGGTGTTTGCTAAGTTGAAGTACACAAAGGTATAGACAAGAGAATGATGAATGAACAACAAAAATAGTTTGGATACAATAAATATAAAGATATAGACTTAGAAGTTCTAAAAATTCTTGATTATTTGAGAGAATAAAAATATTGCTTCTTGACTCTTGCTCTCTTAATTCATCTTTATTCTTAGTGTGTTGGAGTGCCCCCTTTATAGAGAAATTGATGAACTAACCGTTGGGGAAGCTTGGAGTGAAGAAATGCTCGTTGAAAGCATGAAAAAGTAGCCGTTAGAGCATTCTGGGCAAGAACCGATCGATCTCTTCCATAAGAGGATTGATTGGTTCATGTTTTAAACCATTTTTCACTTGAAAATTGCCTAACCGATTGATCCCTTATGTGGGGGGATCGATCCCTTTTTTGAAAATTCAGTCCTGGGGCATTCTGGTTGAAAACCAATCAATCCCTTCTAGAGGGGATCGATCATGTCCATGCTAGGCGGTAGTTTTCTATTTTGTACTCTACTCACTAATTTGATCATAACTTGAGTTATACAAATCCAAATTACAAACCATTTGAAGATTTAGAAACTAAACTTAAAGGGCTTTCTATCCATATAAAGTCATCACCTAATTCACTATGTACAAATTATAGTGAATTTTCAAAGTTACCCTTTGTGCAGTTTTTCTGACAACTACAGAGTTTTCTAGTAAAAATTCAAAATCTTTTCTTGAAAAATTTGGATTTTGATTTTGTTTAATCCATTAGAAAGTATACTCAAATAGCTTTCCAACTATATAAAATTCAAATATTAAAACTTTGTGAATTAATACAAAAAAATAAAAAAATTCAATGTTAGAAAACTGTGTTATTGTAAAACAACTTTCTTAAGTTAATCTATTTCTCGAAACCAATATTGTCAAATTTGTATTAAGTCCAAAATGAATAAGTTCACTTTAAAAACAACAATTGGACT